ATATAAAAAAAAGTTATTAATTTCATGTCAACGAATTGAGTCAAAATTTGAAAATTCATTTGATACTTGAAGCAAAGCTACACGGATTGAATCAGATATACTTTTAAATGAATAGGCTCAAATAGAGGGAACATTTAATACACCTTGTTGATTATTATCACATCCTCGTGAAAATACAATAATATTCCTACATTCTAGAGATGCTTCTCCAGAACCACCCTAAACATACACAACCAAACTTAATTTTATCACGTCCCAGCTGTGTGTATATCTTGTTTCTAAGCTGTGTGTATATCTTGTTTCCAAAAATGCATCTTCGTTAACTTTACGGAGGTGTATTTCCGAAGCATACTAAAGCAAAAGCAACCAGAGAACTAGAAAGATGCAGTTTGACAAAATAAAATTAGACATTGATAACATAAAAAACAAAACATTATATAAGTGATGTTAACATAAATCAAACATTACATTTAATATCTAGATGGATGTTTCAACATCTTCATAATATCTTCGACAGATCTTGAAATTGTTGCATCCACCTCGATCGAAACTTTTGTTTCTAAACGGGAAAAGTATTTCACATAATCCTTAAAGTTGCACCTGTCTTCAGCTCAAAGTTGCTGAACTCAATCTTCCCTTTGTTGTCAGTCGACGATGAACAGTACTCGAGCTTCAGTATTTTTCGATTGTCGAAGTATGGTAAGAGATTCTGCAGTGTGTCTTTCAGATCTGCAAGAGGGATGTACTAATTGAACTTAAATTTAATTGAGGGTTTTTCACCATTGAAGTGGACATATGTAACATGCCATATGATGATCATTCTAGTGTAATGTGTTTTGGTATGAAACATGAGACAAGAACTCATACTTATAGTAGTTGTAGACAAATATGGACCTTTGAAATTTTATCTTGTACTAGAGGATGTTCAGAACCCTTTAATGTCTTGTTATTTTTGGCCAAATATTGTGGATTTTCCTGATATTTGCGATATTTCAGGATCTTTTACATTTCAAAGTTTCAAGTATGTGTTTTGGTTGCACCATATTTAGTGTCATGTCTGAAACGTAATCCTTCTCTTCTGCCATGAAGCGACATGCAATTGGATGACCGACTAACTTTTAACACATGTCATGGTTATATAAACTACATATCATATAAAATTTTCATTTGTTATTTTCCAATAGATAACCAGACAACTTAAAAGGACACTCACATTTTCTTAAACTGGTGTCATCTCGTTTGAAATTTTGGAGAGGAGTTTTATACTTCCTACTCCTTTCGCATGTCATTGTCACAAATGCACCTCATATATCCGAACCAATATCGGGTCTTCCGATTACAACACCAAATCTCAATTTGGATGCCTCTGTACGGATCTATTGAAGCGTGTGATCATGAATTCAAACTCTTATACATTTGTAAAATGATTGCAAACATTTATCTCCTTCACAACATCATGTTTTACATTCGGAGACACAATAGGTTTAGGAAAAACATCAGGATGCACCATATCTAAAAAAAATACTAACATAAAATGTTCAAAAATATATTCAATTGAAAATAGATTGGTGGCAAATAAAAGCAGACAGAGTCTGAAAATGCATTTTTGAAGGAGTTCATACAAAATCCGAAAATACATCTTCAGTCGCAATGTAAATTTTTTCAACTAGAAAACAAGATTAATGTGAGCAATGAGGAATGAAATAAATAAACTTTACTTTGAATTTCAGCTTGTTTTACTCCTTTTAATGTGATGAAACATACGAATAAAGATTTGGAGCGAAAATCTTGATTGAGGATGGAAGGTTTTTTTTGAAAAGGTTTTGAACAAAAATGGTATGGGGTCTGATCATGAAGGTGATTGTTTTTTTTATAAATCACGTTTAACATTTTTGAAAATGCATCTTGGAACTCTGAAAATTCATTTTTGGAAACTCAATTGTGATGATTAATAATCAATATATTAATTGCATTTGCTTAGAGATGCATCTTCGGAATAAAGTTTTTTTAAAAAATTAAACGACGCTCATTTGGGTGTCATTCAAATGAAACAAATGGTGCGTTCAAAGATATATCTCGGAAATATGAAAGAAATTTTCAAATTTTTAGAGTGTGTTTTCACCTCGTAGTGTGTGATTAATAATCCCCTCATATAACTAGTGAATTGGTTGAATTTTGATTATTTAAGGTCGACCGGCAAACCAGAAACACCCTGCCCTCAAGTCTAGTAAGCAAAAAAATGAAAACTTCAAACTAATGGTTTTAAATAAATATAAGTAGAATTCAACTGTCAACATTATAATTAAGGCTTAAATAGTCTTCTAGTCCCTGTAAGTTAGCGAGTTTTTTATTTTGGTCCCTATATTTTTTTTTGTTTGAGTTTCTATATCTCACTTTTGTGTTGGCGGTAGTCCCTAGGATTAGAATTCTATTTAAATATTTGACTTAGCTAATGGCATGGCACACACGTGGAAATGATTTATATTTTTTCGTGGTTAATATGTGGCTTATACAATTATTTGTTTACTGGTCCACGTGGTAATGACAACATAGTTTTAAAAATCGGACCGATCGGTTGAACTGAGAATTAGAGTGGTAACCGGTCTGTTTCAATTGTTGGATCGGTCATGTCATTGAATCGATGAGAACCGGTAAAAATTGATGTAAATCGGTAAAAATCAAAAAACCAGCGGTTTAAGTGCTTTTAAAAAAAATGTGATTTTTAAAATATTAAATAACAAAATTAACAAAATAAATTTTTGCAACTTGTGAGATTCAAACCCACACTCTTTGGTTAAAATGCTTGCACCCTTGCAACTCATCCATGAGCTTCATTTGTTTTAAATCTTGCACCGAAATTATAATATATAAAAATTGTTGTTCATTTCTTGTTCTTAAGAGAGATCATGCACTTGCAGTTCTTGTTTAAACTAATTGATGTTCTTGAAACGAGAGCATGATAATGATAACGACATGCTCCAGCTCTAACTCTTCTTAAACCAATTTGACTTTGCATTTCATCTTTCCCATATTGTTGCCATATTTATATACATGCATGAGTGTATTTGTTTTGGAAAATATTTCACCACCATGCATACAGAAAAATCACATTGGTGTTTTGAGAAACTAATAATCCAAACCTTACTTCAAAAACAAACATGAAAATGAAACTTTAATGGAAGATGATGGTGAAGATTATGAGAGAAAGAGTAAATAATAAAATTACATAATCAAACTATCAAAATGATTATGGTTTGAAATGGTGGAGCACTAAATAAACATACATGAATATCTTATAAACAAACACATATTTTTTCATTGGTCTGAAAAAATTCTGAATTTGTATGAAGGTTGAGCATGAAGATATGAATTCAATCACAGAATTAGAGACTAAAATAAAAAAAAATTAGGTTACAGGGGCTAAAACCATAAACACGCAAATTTATAGGGACGAAAAGAATATTTAATCCAAAATTTTGAGTTTCTGTTCATATCTTCACCCCTAACCATTATACAAACCTTGAATTTTTTTAAACCAAAAATTATTCCTTGTTTTTTCTTTTCATAAAAATGATTTCTCACGCTTCTATCATGACCAGAGATTGTCATTGTACAACAAATATCCACCATCATTTTATTAGGTAATGAAGCGTGCAAACTCATCTCTCATCATTAGAAACAACAACTAAATTAAATGAAACTCAGTAAAGTTATCAACTCAGAATTTGAAACGGAGTAAAGTTATCAACTGAATGTTTACTCATTGATGAAGATGCACTGGAAGAAGAATACGGATTAGAAGAGAGGAAGAAGTTCAAATTGCAAAATCATTTTATTTTTAAATTTTGTCTTTCTTCCCCTTATGTTATATATACATATGCGTTGCAAATATGAAGATGCCTTAATATAAGATCCGTGGTTTGAATTTTTGGGGAGATTTTTTTTAAAAATGACTTTTATCATTTAACATCAAAATAATTAAATAATAATAACTAGTCTACATGAAATTAAAAAAAGAATGTCACATCAAACATTAGCCACATCGGCGGAGAATTGATGTTAAAGAGTAAAACCAAACCAAATTCAACAAATATAGACTTCAACCCACACAAAAGATTTAAAGACCAAAATTAAAAATTTGTCAATTTATAAAAACCAAACGACTATTTAAGCCTATAATTAATATTGTTATTCCTAATTTAACCTGAATCAAATTATGATATATATTTCCAATTTGAGATACAGTCCTAACTAGGCATGTTTTCAAGTTGATTTTCCAAAAGGCATGAATTATCTGTTTTACAAAATATACTAAGCAGTGGTAACCAACTTTTTTCAAGAGGTGTCAATTATTTTTTGTTGCATAAATACAATGACGGAGGGAGTGTTACATAAAAAATGTTAAGAGAATAGTTTCAAACTACAAGAGTGTATCTCTGCCTCATAAGAAGAAGAAAAAAAAAACTGTATATAATAGTTCTGAAGTGTACGTTACATAGTTTAAGAAAAATGCAAAAATTGTGTGTGATTAACATAAACACAAAACCTGCATTAGTGCTTATTAGTATTACAATTCAATCCCAACGAATTTAATTTCCTGCCTAGAAAAGTACTTAATGTTATATCAGTCCCAACAACAAATGAAAAAATGCAACACTACCAAACTCTAAGCTGAACACTAAAAATTGTCATTCAGCTCAGCCAACATTTTGTCAAAAATAAAATTCTACCTACCAATAAGTACCATCTGGACCTGCAAGCAACCATATTAACCATATGATGACATGAAATTGGCTTCCTAGGAATTACTGTAGGAATTTAAACTGGAAATGCATTTTTTTCACTGAATATACATATTTTACACTCACTTCTGCCGCCCTGAATATAGATCGGAAGAAAGACGGAGAGGTGAATTGAGGATCAAAATAACCAGACATATTTCTTTTGTATATATATCAAGAGAACATACAGTGTCTGTGATCAGCTAATTCATCTTTTCTCTAATACATTCCCTTGAAAACAGGATTTGTGCGGCAAATGCTTGCTCCATATTCTTCATATTCTGCCTTTGTATGACAAGCCTGCACATTGAGCCAGAAACTCTAAACAGATTAGATTTGCATCTTGAATGGATGGGAGCCTCTATTTTAGGAAATTAAACAAGAAGAAACTATGGACTCTGCCTCCCAGAGAACAATTTTATCATAAAAAAGACATCCGTCTACAAGGAAGACGACTAAAAAAACCGAGTTATCTAATTTTTTCGTGAATCACCAAATTAGGCCTTTAAATTGTAGGCATTGAGCAATGTGGTTCCCAAAAACTAGTATATGGTCCAAGCAAAATACAAATCATTGACCAAATTATTACTTTATGTATAGTCCGAAAATTGTATCGGCGAAATTACTGTGATCAAAATTTTAATTTCAGATATCATTTTAGAACTTCATTAATTTTATAGGATCAAATTCTCCGACCCTACAATTTTAGAGACTCAATTCGTGATTCTATGCAGATTTCAGTATCATGTTTCCAAGCCAAAATTGTCCAAGAACTAGTGGAACAACCAGTGTTATCAAATTGCGGCGCCATGGCCGCTATGGCATATACATGGTGGTTTTTGGGTTTGCCGCAATGGTAAATATCGCCCGCTATTGCGGATTTTTCCGTCATAATCCGCAATAACGGCGCCGCAAAGCGGTTGGTATGGCGGGATTTTGGCTCTCCGCCATGGACCGCCATCGACAAGACTGGAACAAACAAGTCATAACCCATAAAAATGTAAAAGAAAACAGCTTACCGTAAAAAATTCTGGTGTTGATGCAAGCACTGATCCTCCAAACCAAACTGCAAATCTTTGGATAGGATGGCTGAGTACATTGACCTCCACGGGATGAGACTGGAATCCATACAATAAAAAGAAGAGCCAGTAAATGCCAGGTCAAACCAATAAATATATACCTTATGGGCTTTTCATTAACATTGCCAATTTGAGAATTACTTCCAAACATTTGTGCAACTGTGCATGTGGAGAGGGATTGTGTAGACCTTGACTGATGAGTTAAGTAAACCAAACCAATCAACAACGACACATCATTATTTTAAATTGCTAAATGAATATTTATGTAATTACTCGATATAAAATAATGATGTGTCAATGGTTGACTGGTTTTACTCCATATAGCTTGTGCAAACAAGATTATACAGGAATTTCCTAAGCAATCATCAATTTAAGTAAGAAATATCCATTAACTCTCACTTTTATCTCCCCATTTAGGCGCGCTTCAGCTGCAAGGACACGGGCATCCACAATTTTCTTTATATCACGTTGCAATCTCCTATGAAAATCCTTGAACATCGTTGATCCTCCTGACAACACTATATTCTGAAAAGAAAAAGATAAATGGGCAAGTGGTTAAGGTTAAGAGTTCAGTCATTAAGAACATGTAGAGTGGAGGCCTTGAATTTAATAAGATCCTTAATTAAATATCTGGGCTTGTCTGTGGACTGATATAGCACATGGAACTGATGTATTGCATCTAGGCCAACAGCAGAAAACGCACTTCACTAAAGATTGAACATTAGAAGTTCTCTAATACTAAGGTAAAGCTGATTACTCTTTAAAATTTAAAATTCTAAGGATATCATGTTAAAACAGCATATTGAAATATTTGGGCCTCAAAAGCCGGCACTTTCAAGGCTTATTTCATACAAAATGTTACCATTAAATTGAGATGAGGTGCTTCACCTTATATAGTGATCTCCTTGTGTCAATCGGTGCAGACTGAATGCACTTGTCTATTACAACTGGCAAAGGAGTGGCAAAGTCGCTGCTATACATCTCAGGATTAAAGAAAACCTGCAAAAATAGTAGGGAAAACACATAAGTCTCTTTAAATCACCAATCCTATAGATAAAATGACCCAAACCTGTATATTACTTCAACTATTACACCAAGGCTACACAATTACACTAAGAAATACTACATTTTCATAATTTCTTATATACTTGAAGGAACAAACTTAAGGAGTGCCAAGATCAATAGCAAAGTGGTATCATCAAGTCTCTTAGGAGACTACATGATCAGTGATCCCAAGTTCAATCAAAGCACAGACAGGGTCTGCATAACCTGCACTTAGGCATCCCATCCCTATACCCTATTAGATTTTAGAAATCTTTCATAACCCAAAAAGGAAAAGCAACAAAATTTGACCTTATAATCAGAAGATATGTGGGCAAGCCAAATGAATAATGCCACTTTAAATTTTTACCATTTTCTTATGTAGTACTCACTAATTTCATGACAGGAAATGGGAACTAATAAGGTATATGTTTATTAATTCATCAGTTCATAATGTAGATTTGGGTATTATAATTCAGAGCCATCTGATAGATCTAGTATGGAGGATAGAGAAAGTCTAAAAAGCCTAAGAACAAACCTCAGGCCCAAGAAAGCGTTCATAGCCAATATCACAGGAATATGGAGCCCCAGTCTTTGGTTTTACGCCTCTCCATTGCTTGATATACTTGGCTGGTTCTTTGTCATGCTTATTAAATTCCTAAGAGAAATAGAGCAAATATTATAAAGCAAAATTATCAAATCCAATAGATAACTTAACATCCCTTGTTTTACATATGAATAAAAAATCAAATTAAAGTGGTGAGGAAGTTTAGACCATTAGCCAAGAAAATGTTGGGATTAACAAAAACCAAGGAAACAAAACTAATACTAGCATCACACACAAACTCCTTAAAGGATTATGCCAAAGCAATATAAGCGCTGAACTCAAGACAACCTTCACTATATCAGAGCAGGTGTAGCAATGCATTTCTTTCACTTTCCGAGCCACTTCAAAAGAGTCTTCTGGAGGTATATTCTCTCCTCTTTCCTGCATAAATCAATGCCAACATGAGACAGAGCATGAATCAGGATTTGCAACTTGCAGATAAAGAATCAAATCACTTTTATTTATTAACAAAGTAACATAAACAATGTTATCATAAATACATCAAATCCCACTCATCCATGATTGGCATTTACCGTGCATGGTTTAATTATCTAATCTAACTGGTACACTGAGAGAACCTTTAACATTAACAAGTATACATTAACATATTTTCAAACTCAGGACAAGTGGTGGCCCAATAACCATCTAATTTTATACAAGGATTACCTACCCGCATTAGCTGCTGGACAAAAAGAGTAACATCCTTTCCAGCAATCGGAACTGACTTGATGCTACTTCCAATAACATAACCATCCGCAACCGGTACAACATGTGTAGCCCCATCTCCGATATCAACTACAACTCCTGTCATCTCACACTAAAAAAATTCTAGATCAGCCCAAAAAATTCAAGTAACAATATTTTTTGAAAGGTCAAATGGTACTCTTTTCATGTTTGCATGCAAATATGCTGAACCAATGTTACAGTCTATATTCCACAGATGATAAATTATCCACTACAACCAGTTCTTACTCAACAGTGGTTCACGCTCAGTTTCAAGCAAGATATCCAAAGCATCAAACTGCAGGAGCAGATAAACCATCTTATACATTGTGTGTTTAGATAGCTAGCAAGTTGTACAGAAGGCTTTCCACAACCACAAGTTTGAATAAATAAACCCCCTTCAAGACTAACAGTTCTATTCCATTCCATTCCATCATCCCAATTCTATTAACATGATACAACAAAAAAAAAACATATTTCCACTAGGCAAGTTTCATAAGTCAGACAGTGTCATGATATCCTATCACAATTCTATCAACATAATACACACAATATTTTTCATCAGTACCAACTACATACTTTAGACGTTGTGTAGCCAGCAGCCAGAGCAAGCACAGAGTTCACAGCAATGTAAAGTCCAGGCACATTAAAAGTCTCAAACATGATTTCTCCAGTATACTCGCGGCTCTCTGGCGCTGTCAATGGACTTTCAGTCAAGAGAAAATAGTGATCCTCAGGATCACACCTCAAATAATTGAATATACACTGCTGCCAGTATCGTTCCATGGCATCCCAATTCTCAACCTGACCATGCTTAATCGGGTAGGTGAGATTATAAGTACTGCTAGACCGAGCCTTAGAAAGCGCGTCATCTCCAATAAAAAAATCAAGATCAGCCATAACACCAGCATTATGCTGTGCAATCCAATTTCCCTTAGAAGAACTCCTCGATTGATTCAGAAACGACTCATTAATTGCAACAACGGTAGGAACAATAAAGCAAGGTTCAACATTACCAGCAAACCCCATCTTGGTATACCTGCAACAAAACACCATTTTTTTTACACATTCAACATAATTCAGGTTGATCAATTTCAATCACAAAACTAAGAAAACCTAATTCAGACATTTCAACAAACACGTGGTGTCCCAATTTTGATACTGATAAAAAAGAGATAAAACCCAATTGGGGTATTAAAAATGGAGTGTGAAAAAGTACCCGGAGCCATTGTCGATGACTACAGCAGGACGAGAAGCAGCTGGGTCCATTAGAAAGAGCTGAAAAGTCGCGAAAATTGAAAGTGGATCTGTAAGATTGTAACTCAGATCCAGTAGCGAGATTTATACAGAAGATCATGATCGTGAAGAGAACAACAATGAAGAAGAAGACGTTGTTGGTGAGGAAGACTTTGATCCCAAGTGAAAGAACCGAGTGGGAAGATAAAAGTGGTTGGTGATAGCTCTATCACTACCCATTTGTTTTGAACTATAATAAAATTATCAAGATTACAAAACAAGGTTACATAGGTCCCATTAATATGAGAAACGTTATGTTTTGTTTTTCCTAGAGATGATTTCTTCCTTCCCAATCAAACAATGAATAGATAGACCTTTTTTTTTCTTTCTCTATTGTCTCTTGTTTCTTCTTTCTTCTTTCCTCTACTGTTATTGTTATTATTATGGTGTTCGTTTTTAAAATATATATTTTTTGGGTTTGTCTGTCTGTAAAGCCCAACAAGACAACCTAACCTTTCTTTTTTGGTATGATGACGGTGAGTTTAGGTGTATTTGTCGTTTGAGTGTGAAGGGGTGGGATTGGATTGATCTTAGACCGTTCGATTTCTATAGCTTCACCTGAGTAGCTACTGTTCAGATCCACCAAACAGGAATATCATTCTAACTCTAAGGCTTTTAACTTCATGTGTGGGTTAAATTGGATACATTATTACTGGTCGGTAGGTGAAAATTTAACTTAGGAAAATTGATTCGCTTCGGTAAGCCATAACCATATCATTATTATCATATTATGTGATGCTTGAAAGATCTACGAAGAAGGTCCAATAATTTCTTCCAATAATTAATGTTGAAGGAAAATGTATACGGAATAGGTGGATCATGATCTCTATCGAGAACACACAATCACATGCTCTATTACATTTTTTACGGTTGAATCTAATCAAACAGTTATTCGCGCAAAGCGTCAAATTACACACGGACGGTTTGAACCGTCCCTCCTATATGAATATTAGATCAGGTCATTTTAGGTATTTAATTCATTCTAACTCTCATATTACTTCTCACTCAATCATTGAGTTAGGCGTCGTAGTGATAGCCTTGCATGTAAACCCCCTCTCGGTTGTTTCAGAAACTTGCTCCAACACACAAAGGCTTTATTATATCACTTCACTACACATTTCATGTTCCGTAACGGGCCAAGTTTAAACTTGGGGGCACTGAATGGGAGTCGACCTTTGGCCAATCATGGTCCTCAAAAACATCCAATAAAACTCTCAAGCGTATCCTTTGACGTCAGCAAATTCTTAGAGAAACAAAATCGAGAAACTAAAACAACATCATAACAGGTAAAATAATGATAAGTAAACAAAATATGTAAAAATGCCACGAAGCAACAATTATGGAATTCATTTACACCAAATATTACATTGGGTAGGCTCTTTCCAGACAAAAAAAACTATAAGGTCGGCTCATCCCCAACGAATACTAGTTTCTCATCCATCGTCTCAAGATCAGAAAGGCTTGCTCTTGAGAAATGTGCATCGTGGGATGAAAGAATTCCACTTGTTGAAGAGCATTTTCAAAAGAAACTTGCAGAATGGATATGTTTTCTTCCATTTACTTCACATACTCTTTGGATAGCTCAAGGTTTTCATGACGCATCTCTTGAAGTTCATCCTCAAATCTTTTTTAACCATCTCAAGCCTCATTCAGAAACAGCTCCAAGTTTTTCAATCTCTTATGAGAAGATTCTAATTCCTAATTCGCCTCTACATGATTGGCCTTAGTTGCGAATAACGTTGACCGAGTGGATGATAGAGCTTCATATTTCTTTTTCGTCTCTTACACATGATAACGCGAAATCATATCGTTTATTTGGCTTGATTTACATGCATTTATTTGTGACTTTTATTAATTTATCTTGATTTATGTTCTATTATATGATTAATTTACTTCGTTTTGCAGATTGGGGAGAATTTGGACTAAAGAAAGAAAAGTAGAAGAAACAGATGAAAAACGGATGAAAAATAGATGAAAAACAGCAGATACGGATTCTGCTGCTGTGACGACCGTCACAGGTCCATGACGACCGTCATGCGTGTGACGACCGTCACATTTCATGACGACCGTCACGCAGACAAAAAACGCAGAATCATAATTCACGATCAAGCTCAACTTAAATCCTTCCTCCACTTTCTCCACTCACTGCCCACTACTGGAAGTTACTACACTTTCTCCACTCACTGCCCACTACTGGAAGCTACTACCACTTTCTCCATATCTCACGCATGATCTCAGGAAGTTGAGATAAGAAACATCTCCTATAAATAGACAAGAAACTCACAGAGAAAGGGGTGGATTCTTCATCCCGAAGTTCTGCCAAAGTTCCATCAAAGTTATTTATCGTTACTTTTATTTTCCTTTCCATTTTCCTTCAGTTCAGAATATTGTATTTTCTTCCTGTACCTTTTATTTCTCGCCAAAGTAGAATCCTGCCGACATTGTGGGGGACTACCCAAGGATTTGAGATCAGTACAATTTATAGGTTTTTATTAATTGAATTACTACTTTATTTCTGTTATGATGCACACTTTATTATTCCGTTGTTTATGTTTATTTCCGTTCGCATTAATTATCATGTCTGCCTAAGTTAGTTTTATCGGCATGTAACCGAATTAGTAGGATAGGATTCGATAGTAACCGGCATCTTCCCTTTTTACAAACAACCTTTCTGGCCGTATTGTTTAAATTTATTTACTGAATAAACTTCGTCGCGAAAGCGAGAACTTATTTAAAAGTAGTTTTGCCATGAAAGTGGGAAATTAATTAAGGTACGAACCAACAAGCGAAAGCTGCGGCAAGACCAGATAGTAAACACTAGGCATTTGTTTTAATAACAGCGAAAGCACTTTAAAATGGATTAGAACCTAGAGATTTCCAAAAAGTAGTTTTAACCCCGAATGGGACAGCGAAAGCGTACATTCGGCCCTTAGAATTATGACTAGCGTCAACAACCATCGTGAGACGAAAGTCTTCAGATCACTATTTTCTTCTGAACAATGTTTGCAAAGAGTAAGAAGCATCGGTGACCTGTCGAACTCAGATAACTAAGTCTTTGCATACCGATATCCTTTACCGCATTTCTCTAAACCAATTTTCTTTATTTCTTTTGCATTTAATTTCATTCGCATTCAATTTTCCTAATTCCAATAGCCTTAGCTTTACGCCGTAATAATAGATAACGGTAGATTGACATTGGTCTCTGTGGGTTCGACAATCTTTTATATTACTTCGATATTTCCGTGCACTTGCGGAGCGATCAACACAAGAGATTACACCTTTTCCGCCAAAATTTGGGACTTCGGTCCCTATCTCTCTCAACAAGCCACCCGTCTTAGTAAGCTTCTCTAAGTATCATTCTTGCTCGATAGTAAGAGCATTGACATGTTCCTAAAGCGTTTTTTCTCCTTCCAAAGACAGTCAGGCAAGAATGCGTCTCCCATTCCAACAGCACCAAAGGCCAAGGCAATCGACTTCTAACGAGTCTAATACGTTAGTTCAGCCAACTCCTCTTAACAAATAGCCTCATCCTTTCTGGAAAAATATATGTTATCCATCTTAGAGATAGAGGATCAAAACTCCCTAGCCACTCACATACTAGGATGGACCATAAGCGAATGAGGTGATGCATCTGTGTTCGGTGTTGGGCAGATACTAGAACTAGGCCTTTCCTAGTCTTTCTCAAGTGTTCGATATCGAAAGACGACCTCTCCCCGTGAGTCACTTCGTAATAGTTCTGGTGAAAGGATTCCTTCTAATTATAATCGACGACGGACGTTGAGCACTATCTACCGTGACTTGATCCGTAGAATTCTAAACTTCCACTTGGATCGGGACGGGAAAAGTAACCACAACCGAATAGAAGGGGACCCCGTATGCAAGATTCTCCTAAAAGCCAACCTGGCATCGGCAACCGTATGCAAATGGACAACCTTATGTGTCCTTTTCATCTGGAGCATCGTGTTATAACAATTCATCTTATTTGCAAATCAAAGATTAATTAAAGGCATGCAAGAATAATCATCTAAGAATCGCCAAACAAAAAAGGAGGTGAGGTCTCTTGTTTATCTTCTTCTTGCTTGTTTTCCTCTTTGTCTTCAATAATATCATCTTCATTTGACGGGGGCTTTAAGAATATCTTCATTGATCGAGTTTTCTGTTATCACACCTAAAACCTCAAAAAAGTTGTTTTTCCCAATCTTTTGGGGTGAGGATTCATCAAAAGTCACATGAATTGACTCTTCGATAGAAGACATTCTATGATTTTAAACTTTATATGTTTTACTCAAAGACGAGTATCCTAGAAATATACCTTCATCAGACTTAGCATCAAACTTACCAAGATTGTTCTTTTCATTATTTGGAATAAAACATTTGCAGGTGAAAATGCAAAAATAGGAAATATTAGGTTTTTTGTCTTTGAGTAACTCATAGGGTGTCTTCTCTATGATTGATTGGATAACCACCATGTTCAAGACATCCCATATAGTATTATTTGCGTCTGTCCAAAAGTACTTAGATAAACTCATTTCGCTTGTCATTTTTTGAGTCAATTCTTCTAAAATATGGATTTTACACTCAACAACACCATTTTTGTTGTAGAGCTCTCGGACATGAGAAGTTATGAGTAATTCTGTTTTCATCACAGAAGTTTTCAAGTTGATGGTTTACAAATTCATCACCATGATCACTACAAGGTGTGATAATTTTATAATTATAAATATTGTGGAATAGCTTAGAAAACTTAATGAAAGCTTTAAATATTTCTTCCATATGAGCTAAGAATAACGTCCAAGTAAATCTAGAATAGTCATCCGCAATTTCAAACCCGTAATAGTTACCACCGAAACTTCTTGTCCTCGAAGGGTCAAATAAGCCTATATGGAGAAGCTCAAGAGGTTTTGAAGTTGAAACGACCTTTTGTGATTTAAAATACATTCTTGATTGCTTTCCCATTTGACAAGCATCACAAA